AGAGAGAGAGAGAGAGAGAGAGAGAGAGAGAGAGAGAGAGAGAGAGACAGAGAGAGACAGAGAGAGAGAGAGAGAGATGCCAGACATACCTTTATAAACTTTTGATGGTTAGTTTACGTGTTTTAACTTTTCTAATAAATTAGATATCGGTTTATTGACGTTCTGAATAATAGTTTGGGCATGCTGTTTCAGCTGAGCAGTCATAATAATTTAGTTGATTTGACAAGCAGAGAAAAAGCAAGAAAAATAGTGAAAGAAAGACTAAGAATCAAAGATAAAGTATGAAATAGCCTACTGTGCTATCCACACAAGGAAGGGAGCCTGATTGTGGTCATTGGGGGAAACTGTAAGAGCCGTGCCGGTGTGTGTTCAGCAGGGGAGTGCAGATGTCTTTGGCAGCAACAATGTATGTGATGAGCCTGCAGACAAGATCCAAAGAGAAGACTGAAAGAGGCACTAAACAGGAGATCCATCCCAATATGCTCCCAAGAAACAACCTCTGCTTTACCTGCGTCTGTTTCTGTGCGTGTCTTCTTGTGCAAAATACTGAGAAGAGAGCCGATGAGAGTACCAAAGAAGAATACCTGTGAAAAAGCTTAATCTATCAGACATTTGATCATTAATCTTCCACAAAATAGTTGCAAACATTTACCAGCTGTTCCTGGTGGAATTTCAGTGTTTTTGTATTCTGGGAGACAAGTTACATCATTTTTGCCAATTAGATCCAGTGATGTGGCTAAATAGCCTCATCACTGATATCACCCCCATTTGTGTTGAGAGAGCAACAAGAGGCTGAACTGAACTGAAGTGCCTTAAAAAACACTCCTCTCCATTTAATTCCAGTGGCCGCAGTTCGAGGAGAGTCAATTAACAGATGTAATGTGAGTCATTTAGCAAGCCTAAATATATTGAGAGCTTTGTGTGGAAACCATTAAATTGTATAAGTTGTCATCCACCCTTTGACCTACTGAGCTAATGAGTGTAATGCATTTTACAAGTGTTACATTGAGGAAAGAGGTTTGTGTCTGAAAAGGTCTTTCGAATCGGGTCTGAAATATGTCCGGTAAAAACATGGAAATGATTTTACATTTTGTGTACCGAAGTTTGATGATGGCATGACATAAATGTCAGATATGCACCAGGATTTTGAGTTTAAATTTGTTGAATTTGATTATTACACTTCTGACAGCATTTCAGAAGTTTAAAGCTATATCATTTTTTGTGCTGCCATTACGGAAAATGTGTGTACTCAATCAACCAGAAGTAATGGAAGTATGGATGCAGGTGCTCATGACAATTTCAGGCATAATAATGTCAAATATTGTCTGAGCTTTAGAGGTATTAGTGGTGATATTTTCAACCGTTCAACACACAGGCAAGCTGCGTCCACCTGCTGTATTATTTCTCATATAATATGTGATTCTTTGTGCCACTTCAGTGAATGACAAGAAAATGGTGTTTTGGGGTGGAGTTCACTTCCTTTTACATCAGTATGAGCAATGGCTAGCGTGACTGGCCCTTTCCCCATGTGGAGTTTCATCAATAAACCCGACTCAACCATCCAAACAGCTAAAAACACATTTATTACCTGCGTCTTTATTGCTCTCATGAGGACGCATCACCCACATAACTGTTTTTAGAGTTGTGACCCATGTGAGTTATAATCGGTCCTGTGAAATATCATGCATGTACTGTTGCTTATGATATTGATGATGCTTAAGCCATGGAGTGCACAGATGGATAATAGCCTTTGTCTCTGTAATCCATCACATCTCATCATGCAAAGTTAGATTGCTTCATTCAGACAGATATGCTGCCGGCCATATGTTGCTGCGGCAGCTCCAATGACAAATTCCACTGTAACTATAAATCTCACTCAAGCTATGAAATGAGATGCCATATGGGAGAGAGATGCCACAGTATGCCACACCTGATTGCACTGGAATCCCTAAGATTCTGGGAAGAACAAAACAACTCAAAATCAAATTCAAAGCAACTGGATAAAGTTACGTTTCAGGCGGAAACCCGTTTGCTTGTGGGTCTTTTAATCCCTTTAATCTAGATTAAATCCACATCTGGCATGTCCGCTGCGTGCCTACACGTCCTTCTTGGACCCCAAGCGGCTGACCACTCTTCCCAGAAAAAGGAGCATGACCCCACCCAATTTGGAGTCCACCCCAGGATTGAGAGGATGAGAGGATTGTTTTCATCCCAGACCTGAAGATGTAATGTTAAGCAGAGCTCTCATGACAAAGATTTGTAGAGAGACATGGTACCCTGCCAGAGTGATGTAACTGTGCACATGGAAACAAGGAGGTGATGTAAGAGGGGATTGTCATCCGTTATCTGTGCGTTTGGCTCGGACAGCTGTTTCTGTTTCTTCTTCTCTCAGAAATATTCAGCAGCAGGACTCTGATTGAGCATCTTGGCTCGCCGAGGACTTAAACTGTCATACCCAGAACAAACCAAAAAACTGCAACCCAGAAAATGGATTTCTCCCAGATTACTAGGAGAGCTTTTATTTGGAGCATTGCAAAGTACACGTCATGGTTGTCAGTGCTCATCCTCTCTCACTCGCACACCCTCTCTCTCCAACATAAACACTCATTCTCTCCCTCCATCCTCTCACTTCATCGTCATCTGATTAACAACTAACAAAAAAAACAATCTGGACCATAACCTCGGCACTATTTTCACACAGTTTACGGTAGAGTCTTTGAGTCCAAGCATTCAAACATATATGAGAGAGATAGAGATGGTTCACATATGGGCCATCAGTTTGTTTATATTTCTTCTCAGAACATGGCTTCAAGCTTCTCAAAATAAACTAAGAGGAACACTTCTTTAAATGTATGACAGAAGAGTATTCAGTATGAGACACATGTCCAGGTCATACTGTAGGCAATATATTGAAAAGTAGAATAAAACTAAAAGTTACAGTTGGGTTTATAAGTATTTTCACAGTGGAAGGAAAAGCAACTTTGGATTGAATATTGCATGTTTATGGAAGCAGCTGGTTACTAATACTGCTGCAGAGGCTTTCTGGTCAGACAAACTGGACCGTCCAATTTAAAGGGTTTAAAGTCTATCCGTCTCCGTGCAGTCTACAGTGTGCACACTCATTCGTAGCAGAGCAAAAGAAATGCTGTCTGTTCAATCTCCTTTACATCCAGTGCAACACAGATACCTTCACAACCTTATGGGAGGTGAGGCCTTTGGAGCAATAGTCATTTGCAGTACTTATTGTATGCAACACAGAATGGACTCATATCGTCTTGTAAATTAGGGATTGGGTCAGTCAGTACTGTTCAGAAAGCTGCTGGTGGCAGGCTGTGGTTGTTATTTCCTGCAGCGTCGCCACCTTTCCCTAACAGAGCAAGAGACTCCAGTGTGTGCACACTATCCTTGTCTAGACGTAATCCCAGCCCGGGTGGAGCTGAGTTCTCACCCCCTCCTACACCTCCCTCCTCCTGCAGCTCCCCAGAGGCAGCAGCAGCAGCGGCTGCAGCCGCCGCACACTCCTCTTTGAACAACCGGTCATGCTCCATCTTGAGCTCTTGGTAAGAGCGGGAGAACATGTGGAAGATGGAGGTAGCAGGGAAGGCCATGATGAGGATCCCACTGAGGATGCTGCTCAGCGCTACAACCTGTCCCGGAATGGACCTGGGCACCATGTCGCCGTAGCCCACGGTCGTCATGGAGATAATGGCCCACCAGTAGGAGGCCGGGATGCTGCTGAAGTCGTGGGTGCCCGTGAGCTCGCTCTCAGCCAAGTGGACCAGCGGCGAGAAGAGGGTGACGGCCACGCAGAGAAAAAGCAAGAGGAGGCCAAACTCCCGGGTGCTGCGCCTGACCGTCAGCCCCAGCGTCTGCAGGCCAAGAGAGTGGCGAGCCAGCCGCATCACATAGAGAATCCTCAGCGCCCGCAGAATCCTCAACACCAGGCCCAGCTTGTCCAAGTAGCCCTTACCTCCTCCTGGCTTCTCGTGATCCAGGGATGGGTCTTCCTCTGACACCACTAGGGAGACGTAGTAGGGAAGGATGGCCATAGCGTCGACGATGTTGAGCGGCCCGCGGAGGAATTCCAGCTTGCTGCGGGCCTGAATGAACCGCAGGAGGAACTCCAGGGAGAACCAGGCCACACACACTGTCTCTATGATGAACATGTTGTAGCACTTAGATGAACACTCACCCTGAGGTAGAGAGGGAAGGCGAGGGGTTGGGGGAGCAAGAGAGAGAGAGTGAGTTACAGAGAGATCGAGAATGAGAGGAGCAGGAGTTTGACAGGGAGCAAAACAGATGGGGTGAGATGGAGAGAAGACAAAAATCTGAAGTCAGATAATCACCCTCGGTAATCATTCATAAATCAAGAGCTCCAGTCACTCAGTATGCTAAAGCTACTGCAGCAGCATTGATAGATAATACGGTGACACAATCAATTGTTTTATTAGGGCAGGTTTCAAAGATTAATGTGACACTCCGTGGGAGCGAAGACAGAAAGCAATCAGGTTTGCATGCCCTCTAACTACAGTCTCAAGTAAAAGCAATGCGATATTAAAAAACACTGTGTGACAATACAGAAGAGATTTGGCAGCGATCTCTGTCACTTTCCTTTTTTTATTTTTTTAAATTAGCCTATATTCCACCTCCTCACATTCCCTCTGCAGAAAGTATCTGCAATCACTTAATGTATTAACAAGTCTTTTTTATACTAGATGAAGATTACATTTCACTTGTCTCAGCAACTATACGGCTGAAGAACACTAAATGCTTTAAGATGCATTTCCACTAAGAATGACCTCAAAAATAAAGCATTTTAAATTGAGTGGAGAAATATCTTTCACCACAAATAAATTAATTTCCGAGTTGGCTAATTTAATCCCTTTAATGTGTGTACTGTTGTCCATATTTAATTTGTATTCCATTATAAGAATACTAAACCTTAGAAGGAGTGAAAGTTAATTAAAAGTTTGATTGCTAAAGTAAACTGGTCTCTCAAGGACTAGGTACGTCTGAAGGCAAAAAGTGTTTATAACTATTCAAAATGGCTTCACTGGAAGCTGGGGCTAACTGTGCACATTTTCCTAAAGTTTCTCCTCAAAGGCATTCCATTTGTAAACACAAAAAGTGACAGAAATAGCTGTGTGGAGAATGAAAAAGATAGCTTACAAGAGAAGTTCAGAAACGTTGTTGTCTACACAACTCGTATTACAATATAATACTCAGACGGATCAAGATTGTTCTTGCGTTTTTTTTCTTGAGTGATTAGCATTTTTCAATTGATCAGAATGACTTACTTGTTTTCACACTGAATATGAAACCCAATGACTTGATATATATTTATACGATGGATATTATTTGTGTGCTCTCTCAGCCTAGTAGCCTTCCCCATTTTTTCCACTTTTCTCATTGTTCACTCATTAATCTCTTTGTCACTGTGCGTCTAATCTACTTTCCCTCCCTCTTCCCCATCTATTCTCGCTCTGCCACCCTTCCTTTTCTCTTCCTGCCTCTGTCTCCACCTTCTCATCACTCATTCTGTTTCCTCGTCCATCAGCCTCTCTGGACTCCCTCCCTCTCATCCTTCATTCTCTGTTCGCCTCACACACCAGCCTCTTTCTGCTTTCATTCCTTCATTCCTTCAGAGTTCTTCTGAGTGAAACACAACTCCTTCCACTGTTCCTCTATGCGCGATGCATCCTTCACACACGTGTCCCATTCCTCACGCTCTCATGTATCACTTGTGTCCTCTGCCTTTCTCACTGATTTTCCTCTCAGTGTGACTCGTAGCCTTCAACTTCATATCTACAGAGTGACGTGTATCTGTTTAATTTGTAGGGTTTTACAATATATGCAGTGCTATTTACCTCCATTCAATCTGAACCCATTTGTTTCTTTCACACTGTGCTAATTTACAGCGATATTGATAATAGCTACAGTCCCGGGCTATATTCTGCATCCATCTTTTATCAGCAGCCAAATCATTATAGCCCATTACAGCTAGGGTATGTATTCTTGTGTAAAATCATTTTGTTGCATTGTATTGAAATTTTCATTACATCCGGACGGCAAACAATAAATGAAATACTTAAAAGAAAAAAAAGGCTGTCGCAGGAATGAAAGAATATCGTCCTTCATTCGTTCGGCCCGAATGAAACGACTGGACGAGCCACCTGTCTGTCTTCCTAGTTGCACACACTGCCTGTGCACTCATCGCGTGTCACACCGAGTCTTCCACAAGCTGCTAGCTTGACAACTGTGAGAACTAACAATAGCCATGTTCGTTTTTTACGTTTGTAATGATCATTTTGGGGGAGTGGCTTTAGAGTAAGGCCTTCAGGGACTGCCTGTCAGTGATGCCGACTTGGCAGCTTTCTCGCAAAATGTAGGGACTTTTGGAGCTAGTGCTGCCAGCTGCTTTCATAGTATAAGAATTGGCAGCACTGGGTCGGGTTTTTCGGTAGAATCTTTTTTTTAAATCTAGCGTACTCAAGCTATTTTCTCAAGATTATCAACCCTAGCTTTTCACAAACTGTTTCCCCTCTTGTCCCCTTCAAATTGCATCAAGCTGGAAACAGTATTGATCACCTTATAACGCTGATATGGCAAAAATGCTCGCATACAATTGCTTATCGACACAGACGGACATTTTTGGAGTTGTGTTTCTGACCATCTGATGAATGCAAGTCCAATATTTACCCGGCTTTTCAGATCCGTTTTGCTCTCCATCAACGAAATTGCTGGCTCTTTGGATGCTAAATGCTTCATGCAGTCACCAGCTCGCTAACCCTGTCAGTTTGCCGCTAGTTGCTGAGCAGGTAGTGTACAGTGGATTCTTTTAGAGCTTTTTTGCTGAAAACATCTGCCTGCTGCATCTGGAAACAGGGTTGATGAGAGTAAATTAAATCAGTTGTGAGCTGCAAAACCACTTGTTCTAACTCTACATTGAAGCTACATAATGTTTACACTGAGTTAAATATCTACCCCATGAATTTGCACCATCCTCTGGCAACATATCACTCACGCAGCAGACTCCCCAGACTCCTCTGTTTTTGATTCTGTGTGATTTGAAAAGCTGCCGACTCGACAAGTTACATATCAGCAATAAATACAATGTGCCAATGTGAAAAGCAGAGCATACAAGAAACCCTCCCTAAGTACAGCTGATCACAACTTCATCCACCTTAGTCCCTATACAGTACAACATTACAATGGGATGGAGTCATCAAAAAGCAGGTTAATGGGATGAGGAGGCTCGGAAAACTATCAAAGATGGGACCAGTCTGGAGGAGGCAACTGACATCATCACTGAGTGCATCCTTTTCTGTGAAAATATAATTGCCCCAACAAAAAACTGGTTATGTCTTTTCAAAGAAAAAACTTTGGTTCTGTCATCTCACCACCATTTACTTTACACAGACGACTGCAGTAGCTCATATCCTGAGATGTTGTCCATCAACTACTCTGACAACACAGATTAGGCAATCCACAGTTTTGCAGGGTGGTGTGAGAACACAGCCTGTTCTCATTCAGGACTTCAAATACCGAGGCTTTGTCACGCCCCTCGGCACCCTTTAGCGTCTGTATGAGATGCACCGGGCTTCCAAATAACTACAATGTGAACCCAACAGCATCATTATTAGGCGCTCAGAGCTAATGCTCCGGGAGTGCGATGAAGTAGTTTAAAGACCAAAAAAAGAAGACTATGGTGTTCGAGACCAGTGTTTGTGACCCAAAGTGTTGTTTTCTGTACTATTGTTACATTGTTTTCGTTTTACTTAGTTTACGTACTTATTTTAAGCCCAAAATGTTATGTTTTTAGTAATCCTAAGTGATTTAAATGCGTATTCACTGTAAATCAAACAAAGCAGATTTCTGTCAGTGCTTAATTTTAGCGTTAAAAAACGTATTTACAAAAGGCAAATCTATCTATCTATTTAGTTCCACATATTAAAGAAAAATAAAATATCCATTTTACTGAATTTATCATTCACTCTTCATTGCATGTCAGTGGGAAGTGGGCAGAAACTGGGATGCCCAATGGCTTCAGCTGAACAGTCCATGATTTCTCCAGAGAATCTGAGGCGCTGAGTTTGAGGGCTTATTTGTTCCTCAAGCTGAGGACATTTACAAAAAGAAAATACACATTTGATAGGGTCTCTCCCTGAGAAGTACCACTTCAATAAATCACTAACTAAATACGTATATACTTAATCTTGCCTGCATTCCTCAAGTTTTCTCTTGCTGATGTCCAGTCCTGCTGAGATCTGTGGTTGCCTACCTGTCTGACCTGAATCGATCTTTCAGACACTTTCTCCCCACAGCCTACATGTTATGTCTCTCACGTGCACTCTCCACCTCTCATGCATTCCCTTCCTCTCTGCTCTTTCTGTCTCTAGTGCTGACATTAGGGCTTTGTGACACCGTTCTCAGCCTCTGCTTGATAGGCCATGTGTTACAGCTTTCCACTTCTACACACAAAACCTGCCACAATTTCCACTATCTCCCTGACCTTATCTCCTCTGTACAACTCTCACTGGAACTAAAGTCTGTGACAGCTCATTTCAACACAGACACTGTTCACCCTAGCAGCTGTCTAGTGTTTCACATTACTGTCCGTATTAACACATCTCAATGTCAAATTAAGACAAAGAGCGTAGCGAGGGTGGAATCAGGGCATTTTTGGAACAGGGACATTTGAAGTGACTACGTGCCAAAACCCACTGCCACAGAATCCCACAGAGAGGAAGGCGATCAGTCTACAATCAATTGAAGGACATGCCAAACTAAATATTTTAAAAAGGCAACCAAGTGACAACTCACACACACAAGAAACGAAAAGTAGATCTTCCAAAGCTTTTTCAGCTTTTTCACAATGGTTAGCCAATTGCCATGAATACTTGAATGACTCAGGGGGCTTTTTAGCTCACAAATTTCCCCACCTTTTGGCGACCAAAGTTTTCGCCCTAGGGGGCTGAAATTTGGCATCATCAAGTATGTGAAGGTGTGGGTTTGTGTTCATGCCAATTGGCAAAAAGGGGGTGTGGCCTTGAGAGTGACTTATAATAAAAAGGCCATTAAATTCTGAACAGATTCATCTACCACGGCCAAACTCATCAACCGTTTATTGCAGACTTGTGGGAGGCAGGTTTGACGGTTTATGAGTTATGAATTGGGCAGGGGCAACCATCGT